GATTCCGAGATGAAATCCGGTCTCCAATGAATGACAAACGCAGGAATGAAATATAGCAAATAAATGTATTGACATAATACAATTGGTAATATGGTTAGTACATCCAGAAATGCGGTTAGTAGCAATAATAATATATATACAGTCTGGGAAATTCAGTATCGAAGTAGGACTTCCTTCTGAGTCTACGTGCTTGCATCTGTGACTCCTACAAAGTGGTTACCTCACACTCTTACTCTCTCTCTATTACTCTACCTCTCGGGTATTCACTGGCAGCAGTACAAATACACACTGGTCGAGATTCCTTTTGGAGGGAGTTAGTATTTTTTTCTCTTATGGTTGATAATCAGGGGTTCGGTAATTTTTCTCTTCCTGTTTGACCTTCTCATTTCTGGGTCTTCCTGCGGTCTTTGGATCTCAAACACTTCGAAGATTGCATCCATAGAATCGCAGTTTTCTGCAGGTTCCTCAACCCATCTTTTTTGTAATTGGTCAATATGTCTTCTATGTGAAAACTTCTCGCCTTGTATTGTGTACATTAGATTTCCTAATCTGTTAATTACTGTGCCAGGCTCCCAGTAAGCCATATTGTTTCTAAACATCCTAAAGTAAACCTGTTCTCCAGGTTTAAATGATCTCTTGGGTACAATAGGTGTATACTGGCTTTTGTTCTTGTTTGGCAATAATTTGTCAAACACAGACCTTATTCTCTGAGCAAACATCAACTCCACTGGTGAAAGACCTGATGACGTGTTCATGTTAGGCATTATTCTGTACACTTGGAGGAACTGTTGTATCGCTTTTATCGTCGGTACATCCTTGGCTTTTTTAACGCTCTTTTTAGTGTGTCAACAAATCTTTCAGCTTGTCCGTTTGACCTCGGGTGGTACGGAGCTATCTTGATATGCTTTATTTGATAGGTCTCGCAAAATTCTTTGAAGTCACTGGAGGTAAATTGTGTGCCGTTATTGCTTACCAAACAATCCGTGATGCCAAATATCGCGAATAGTTCCTGTAAACAGTTTATGGTGTTTTGTCGTCGGGTTTTTAAATCTGGCAACCTCTAGCCATTTACTGAAACTATCTACTGTTATAAAATAGTAGTAACCTTCAATGGGTCCTGCATAATCCACGTGGATTCTGGACCACGGTCTGTCAACTTTAGGCCATGGCTTTTGTATAGAGGGTGGTGCTTTCGCTGTAGCAGCACAACCTTTGCAACTTTCCACCATTTGTGTAATATCATCGTCCATGTTCGGCAAGTAAACAAAACTTCTCATAAGTGATTTCATCCGGTTTTTATTGGGATGTCCTAAGTGAAAATCTTTCAAGATCCATCTTCGTAGCAACTTCAGTATTACTACTCTCTTGTTATACAATAATGTTGTCACAGATTGAGAAACTGTCTGCTAAATTCCTCACCTTCACTTCTATTTTTTTCTTGGTATTCTGAATAAATTTGTCTCTTTTTGCTTCTCGTCTTATCTCTAGCAGCATTACAGTAGTTCCTTTATTGTATTGCATAATACCTTAATGATTTCATCTTCAGCTTGTAATGCCGCAATAACCAAATCTTCTAACGGTTCGCATTTTGCAGGTATTAATCGCGATAGTCCATCAGCATGTCCTATTTTCTTTGATGGTAAGAACTCAAGCTTGAAATTGTAGTTTGGTAACACAGTTCCCCATCTTAAAAGTCTGTTCGCTGTATAGACTGGTAGACCTTTTTTTTTTTTTTTGAACCGAAAATCGTAAGAAGTGGTTTGGGATCCGTTTGGAGTGTGAACTCTCTCTCTCTCTCCCATAAATAAATCTATGAAAACGAGTTACTGCAAAAATTATGCCCAACGCCTCCTTTTCGATCTGTGAATAGTTTCTCTCCACCGGTAATAATGATCTAGGTGCATGTGCAACAGGTTTGTTTGTGCCGTTCTGCATCTTGTGTAAAATACACGCACATACCCCATGTGAGCTTGTGTCACTTGCAATAATGATTTCGAGTTCAGGATCGAAATGTGTCAATGCTAACTCCAAAGTTAATTTTTGTATTATTTCCTTAAATACTTTTTTTTTTACAGTCTTCTGTCCAATTCCAATTATTCTCCTTTTTTAGTAACTCATTTAGTGTAACCCTCAGTTTATGCATATTATCAATAAATTCGCCATAGTAGTTAGCTAGGCCCAGGAAACTTTGTAGTTCTGCAACATTTTTTGGTTCAGGCATATTTTTAATTGCCTCTCTGGGTCCAGTTTCCTGCCATTTTCATTTATTATCTGACCTAAGTATTTAATTTCATTTAGGAAAAAAATCACACTTTTCTCCTTTTACTTTGAACCCAAAGTCCTGAAGTCTTCTGAAAACTTCCTTTATGTGTGATGTGTGCTCTTCAACATTGTCGCTCTTAATCAGAATGTCATTCAGATAAGCAGTTGCAAAATTCTGCCCTGTGAGCATTGTGTTCATTGTTTGCTGAAAAATTGCTGGTACAACTTTTACTCCGAATGGTAGTCTGTTGAATTTGTACAACCCTTTGTGCGTGTCAATGCAAAGGATTTTCGTACTCTCTTGTACTGGGATTTGTAGATAAGCCTCACTAAGATCTATTTTTGAAAATATCTTACCGCCATTGAGCTTTGTAAATATTTCTTCTGGGCTCGGTAGTGGGTAATGGTGGTCTTTTATAGCCTTTTTAAGCCCCGTTGAAAAATCTGCGCATACGCGGATTTCTCCTGACTTCTTTTTTACATAAACCACTGGTGCTGCCCACTCACTAAACTCTATTTTTGAAAGAATCCCAGTTTGTTCAAGTCTCTCCAATCTTTGTCTATTTTTTCTATAGTAGCGAACGGTATTTTTGCTTCTTTTTAAAAACTGGTTGGATGTTTTCTTTTAATTCAATTCTGGCCTTAAATTTGTTGCATTGTCCCAACCCACTCAAAAATACTTCAGGAAATTGGTTATATAATTCTTCCTTTAATTTTATAGTATCTGATGGTTCAACCTCTAACTTTTTGCAAAAAGAGCTGATAGGTAGGTCCCAGACGTTGAACTTCTGCATCCAGTCGATACCTACTAGATTTTCAGTATCTTTCATGACGTATATCTTAAGTTTTTTTGTTTTACCATGAAATTTAACATTCATGATTATTTCTCCCTCAAATTTTATTCATTTGCCTGTAACTGACTTGGTAATTTTTTGTGTGTGTAACATGGTAGGTCTTCGTTATGCATCCTAGTAGCTCTTATTCTACTAGTATCTTTTCTATTCCTACATTGGGATGCCTTGTGGCCCTTTTTTCCACATTCAAGACAGTTTTTATATCTAAAGCGGCAATCCTTGATCCAATGTAGTCCTCCACATCGATAACATGCTGATGGAGGGGCCTTATATTTGTTTCGATATTCGTCATAATTTGTCCTGTATGTTGTACTTTTTCTCTTATCATAAAATTTTCTTTTTCTTTCTGAGGAGGGTGAGAATCTTTTTTCATTGTCGTAAAATTTTAGTTTCCTTTCCGGGGGAGGGTGAAGAATGTAGACTTTTGTTTAACTTACGTATATGAGAAACAGCTGATTCTTCAATGTCCTTTGCGTCTTTCTTTATGCTTAAACATCTCTGGAAATCTTCCAATAATTGCTGTAATGTTAGACTCGGTTCATTTTGTAATTTTGCAAGCATTCTTCTACGCATTTCGCTATCTTTTGTAGAAACTAGCCCTTGAACAAAGATGAGACATTTGAAATTGTCCGGGGTTAATTCCGCTAGTTTGAAGTCGTCACAATGTTTATTTACGATTGCGGCAAACGTGGAATAATCCTCATTATCGCCCTTTACCAGGTTAAGGCATTTCCACCTCCTATGGAAGAGTGATGTTTTGAGGCTGAAGAGTTCTTTAAGACATGTCACTGCTTCATCAAATGTTAATTCGTTCGTCTTTTTTGGCAAGATATAATCCATGAACTTTACATATTCTTCAGTTCCTAATTTTATAAGCAATAGACGTAGCTTTTTTGCTTCTGTCCAGTTTTGACAGTCGATGTTAAAGATGTCTTCATGTCTTCTGAAGTAATCTCCAAAATTTTTGTCCTCATCTAGAGAATATTTGAAAATCTAAAGGTATTCCACATTGTGTCTTGTGAAAAAGTTGCTTCTTTTTCAATATCTAATTGCTTGTTGCCTGCTACTTTCAATATTAGTTCCTGGAGCTCTATTTGTCTTTCTTGATTTTCTTTTTGTGTTTGTAATAATTGCTTTTGCCATTTTTCTTCCATTCTTTCTTGTAGTTGTAATTGTTGATCATTTTGGTATTTTATCAGTTCTACCAAAATATTTTTTAAAATCTTCCATGATAACTCAATTTTACATATTTTTACTCCTCGTAACTGTTTGTCACTAATTTGTTGTGGACGAAGAGGGAAAATTTTTTTATTGTTTGTTCTTCCTGTGTGAGTTCAAATCAATTTGTTGTGAATGAGGGGAGGATTTTTCTAACTCTTCTTCTCGTGTAAGTTCGAATTGATAGTCGCCAATTCGCTGTGGACGGTGAGGGAAAATTTTTTGTTGTTTTTTTCTTCCTGTGTGAGTTCGAATCTTCATCGCCAATTTGTTGTGGATTCCGAGATGAAAACCGGTCTCCAATGAATGACAAACGCAGGAATGAAATATAGCAAATAAATGTATTGACGTAATAATACAATTGGTAACACGGTTAGTACATCCAGAAATGCGGTTAGTAAGAATAATAATATATATACAGTCTGGGAAATTCAGTATCGAAGTAGTAGACTTCCTTCTGAGTCTACGTGCTTGTAACTGTGACTCCTACAAAGCGGTTACCTCACATTCTTACTCTCTCTATTACTCTAACTCTTGGGTATTCACTGGCAGCAGTACAAATACACACTGGTTGAATCCACTTTTATGAAAAAAGGGTGGACCCCATAACAAATAGTAAATTTCTTAACTTTGATAAGTCTTACAATAAATTCAAAAATCACTTACTGCTTAGATCATATTTGACATCTTGGATTTCCTTGAAGGTTTTCTCACGACAAGCATTTGGTATCACTACTTCTAAACGCTGCAACATCTCTTCATCCTTTGCTGTTCCACGCCCTGCATCCTTACTCATGTTGACAGTGTCAAGTAGAATGGTAGCTAAAATATAAATCACATTTCAAGTATAAACAACAATATAAGCTTATTCAAGAATTACTGACCACTTCTAATGAAAATTTTATCACTAATATGAACAGTTTCCTTTGGTACAAATCAACACTTAAATTTCAACATAATAAATTAAATAGTGGTTGCATAATCAATTCAGAAAAAAATGGGAATGTGATCATTTTCTTATGGCTGAATTGAAGGGCAAATAAATAGAAAAAAAAAAACAGTCCATTGGATAGATTCACTTTCCTCCATAGATAGAAATGAATTCAAATGATGTGTGATATAACTGGTGAATATAAGTGACAGTGTAGCTGTGATGGTACATGGATAGGATTTAATGCTGTCTGACACCAGGATGATTGTTGGGGCAAGAAAGGAGTGCATGTATAGGGGGTGCTATCATGAAGGTCCCAGGTTTTTGTTAGGCAACAGCAGCAGGAATATACTAAGAATATGTGAATTCCAGACAGATATTAGTGGCAAATGAAATCAAGCTTCTGCTGGTGATTGATAATGACAGTAACTAACCAAAGAAGAGTAGCATTGCATTAACAAAATCCTAATTCAACACTGACACTGCTCGACCCATCAGTCAATGCAATGTACAAGATGTACTACGTTACATAAGGTTTTGTAGTTGTTAAGCAAGATGGGTATCATTATTGACACTACAGCATCAATTACTGGGCTTCATTGATGTCAGAGGGTACCACTATTGAACCATGACAAACAGGCACCATGTCAGCTGAAATAAATAGTGTTTTTTCTAACTCTTATCCAGTTATCCAGTGATGGTGGGTTGCTCCAGCAAGATAATGCAAACCTCCATTGTGCACAGGTAATAGAAAAATGGTACCAGGAACACAGCTGACTTCCAGGTACTCCACTGATCAGTGCTCACCAGATTTAAACCCCCATTGATCATGTACAGAACCTGTTACAGATTTCACTATCTTACCTGCAGTCACACTTCACACAACTCAGTAATGTGCAAGTTGACTGAAAAGTTCATAGGCTGACCAAGATATAAGTAGGCACAACCACTGGTAGACTAAAAGACATGCCTCTGTACCAGAATACAACAGTTGGTTGATCAGCTGTTGTATTCTGATACATATGCATGTCTCTTAAATCTACCAACTGGTGTGTCTAATTATATTTTTATATTGGTCAGCGTATGAACTACCCTGAAATGTACCTAGATAGATATACCCATACAATGACTCTGGCACCTTTTAGACTATCACATCACACTGTCAATGTTATATGAAGGGAGCAATTATACATTAGATTTTTGCCTCTAATGTTTTGACAATTCAGTTTATTTCAACATCCTTATATTTGCAGAGAATATGCAATGAAATATAACAAAGTATATAGTGTATCCATGAGTATGAAAGAGAGAACACACAAATCAGATGATATACAACAATTAGTTGTGATTAAAGTATTCAGTAACAGATCATTCTGATCAAAGGTAAATCTCTTTAATATAATAAGCTAATTAAGGCCCAAGAAATCTAAGAGCAAAATCTACCCTTTCAGATCAATAAAATCATATACTGCAATTTTTTACTCACTAAATAATATTAAAAGGGATGAACATTTAGTAAAAGTAAAACCTTCTAAACAAATAAGTCTTGTTCTTCACAAAAACCATCTGATAAAAACTATGAGATAAAGATGATTACAAACAACTAAAGTATTTGGTTTTTGTTTATATATTTAATGTACTTTAAGGTTTTCTTTTTCTAACACAACAGGAAGGTAAATATCAATAAACCTTTGGATACATATAAGTAAAGATAAAAAATTAAATGTTAACAGTAACGACGGTAAGAGTGAAGCAAATTATACTAGCTCACTGGCTAACAGCAATAAAGCAACTGGCTGAACTTCAACTAATATATATGTGCTATTTTGCCACTATTGCTTCTAAAGTCAGAATGACCTTTAACTGTTAACTATACTCTTCATTTGCAAGAATAGCTCACCAGTAGAAGAGTACAGCAATAGGATTTTTTTTAGATTTAAACCAGGTTCTAAGTTAATCATGTTTGTAATGTCAAATTCATCCAGAAAAGAAAAAACAATTACTTTAAACTTGAGTAAAGGAGATGTGTGTGTGTGTGTGTGTGTGAAAATTCTTCCCCAAAATCAAGTCCGGTTTTTAATAATGACCTCCTCACCTGGTGAACCATAAAACAGTTCCTCTGTGGAACTTACCTGTAGATGAATGTTATGATCCCTGTTTATAAATTCCAATTGCATAAGGTCTTTTTTTTATTTTTTTTACAAGCTTTCATCTGTGCATACAGACATCATCAGGTATGGAAATAGATTTGTTTTTGTTTCTTACTTCCCGGTAATAAAGATGTCTGATGATGTCTGTATGCAGATGAAAGCTTGTAAAAAAAAAAATAAAAAATAAAAAAAGACCTTATGCAACTGGAATTTATAAACGGGGATCATAACATTCATCTACAGGTTCGGGGTTAATGTACTTTATTAAATTTGTTTGCAAAGATGTATTCATTAACTTCTATCTGTTTTTTGTATGAATGATTCATGTAATATATATATATATATATAATTATTCCAGGATCATTTTCCAACTTATTCAAGATGATCTTCGCCGTCTATAACCTTTTAACTGGAGTAACAAGGTGCTTCACAGGTTTCAAGTATGATTTCATCTTGAAGATGGAAGCGAGAGGATGAATGTTGGTACCATTACTGAAGGCCTGAATTAACTTTTTCCTCTCACCATTGCTCATTTGTGGAGGCTGTGGTGCTGACAGAAAATGATTTTAACCTGTTCTCTTTCTAGTTGAATAACTCAAAGGGATTTTCAATGATTCTTACAAAAAATGGTGCCAACATGGCTAAACATCTTATCTGAAAACCTGGGAAAAAGAAACTCAATTAGATTAGTGATTTTTTAGATATTAAATATTTTGAACTAAGTTTCTGCTTCAAGGTAACTTAAAAAAATGACTTGGCTGTTTATACACTTGTGGAGATAATTTTTTTAGTAAGTAAGGATGAGAAGTTCATCCCCATTGCTTTGTTGGTGACATGCATTGCAAGTTTAACCATCATAAGGAAAACTGACTATGAACCAAGCAAAATTGTTTTTCTATTAAGAGTTTGAATAACTTTAAAATCTGCAATATTCACAGGAATAGTCTCAAGTTCTAAATTTTCAACTTTTATGCAATAATTACTATTATTATGATGCAAACATTAACAGGTAACACTAAAATGTTTAAATAAATCATGTCTGAAGAAAAAAAGAAAAAAAAAAAAGAAAGAAAACATACAGGTGACTCCTATAGTGATTAAAATAATAGATGGCATTCAGTCATGTCATAAACATAATAAAACTTTTTTTGATATCAATAGACACATGCCAGTTACATTATGATTTTCACCTTCAATTGAATTTAACTAAAACTATAAATAAAAAAGAAAGAAAAAAAAAATGCATTCAATGCACTGAGTATTAGAATTTATGAGACTCGGTTCAGTTTATTTTCTTAAATCAAAACTTGGCCTTTATCCAAATCTGCTAAGATGTTTTGCAGCAACATTCACCAAAAATATCATGTTTTTGATTATGTCATATTTATGCCTCCATTAAGAGGCCATCAAATGGATAAAAGGTAAAGAAAAAAACAATATAAAAACACTGAATTAAAATGGTTGGGAATTTACATGAAAATAAGAAAAGTCATGAAAAATTATATGAGGGTCTATAATTCTATCATGACAAGACAAAAATTTATTTTGAAAATAAACTGATTTATGAACAGATCCAAGACAGGAAAAATAATTTTTTTTATTCTCAAATTTAATTCCACATAAGCCTCATAATCTGAAGTTGCTAATTGGGCAAAGTCATCTATATGTTTTGTTTGGTTTTTTTTCGTTGTCGTTCATTCCAATATTCAGGACCAGTCACATGTTATCTACTAAATATTTGTTTATCTCATCTATCTTAAAAAAATGAGTTGCAAACTCAATAATTCAGTTTATCTTTGATCATTTAACTAACAAAGAAAAGCCTAGTCCAATTAAGTTTCAAAACGTGCTTTACCAATGAATTATTATTTACCTTAGAAACACTTTTTTTCCTAAATCTAAAATTATCAAAAATGATCTTCATTTGGTGCACTTCTTTTATTAGCTACAAATTATTGGCTCCTTACTACTTGATAAAAGTCCCTCAGAGGACAAAATATGTCAACTAAGTTTTTCTTTTATCTTTAATAATACTGTCCTTTTACAGATATACTCTATCTGAAATTTTTACACACACATTATATATATATATATATATATATATTTGTCCAAATCATTTTACAACATAATTATCCATCCAACAAAATATTTAATATCTAAAAAATCACTAATCTAATTGAGTTTCTTTTTCCCAGGTTTTCAGATAAGATGTTTAGCCATGTTGGCACCATTTTTTGTAAGAATCATTGAAAATCCCTTTGAGTTATTCAACTAGAAAGAGAACAGGTTAAAATCATTTTCTGTCAGCACCACAGCCTCCAAAAATGAGCAATGGTGAGAGGAAAAAAGTTAATTCAGGCCTTCAGTAATGGTACCAACATTCATCCTCTCGCTTCCATCTTCAAGATGAAATCATACTTGAAACCTGTGAAGCACCTTGTTACTCCAGTTAAAAGGTTATAGACTATGAAGATCATCTTGAATAAGTTGGAAAATGATCCTGGAATAATTATATATATATATATATATTACATGAATCATTCATACAAAAAACAGATAGAAGTTAATGAATACATCTTTGCAAACAAATTTAATAAAGTACATTAACCCGAACCTGTAGATGAATATTATGATCCCGTTTATAAATTCCAGTTGCATAAGGTCTTTTTTATTTTTTTTTTTTTTTTTTTACAAGCTTTCATCTGCATACAGACATCATCAGACATCTTTTATTACCGGGA